CACCGCTGAGTTGACGGCAACTACTCGAATTCATATCTTCTTTTTCGCCGAGGCCGTCCACGACTAAGAGGTTCCCTGGAAACACATGTGTGATCAAAAAATCATTTTATATGGAGTTCGAATGAAAAGTCATGTTCTCACCTTTATGCGCTTGCGTTCACCCTCTCCAATCCGGATCTCCAATCTTCTTCTTTTCAACGTAATAACCATCAATCGGACACCTCCGTCTTTTGTAAGCCGACTCCAAAGTACTTCAGCAGAATTCCTTGTGATGCTTCCGATTCCTTGGTTGAATCCGGTGCTCCTGAGGAACCTGCAATTTATTTAAAGCATAGTAAACTGACCAATCAAATAATGCATCCTCAACAAAAAACTCACCACAACAAATGGCTTGCAGGTGACTGGATAGATCCATTACTGGCTTCTCCTTCACCAGCTCATTCACTGCTCTGATTCGGCACTGATAGGTTCACCCTCATGAAGGTTCGAATTGTCACTTCTGTTCCTTGATCAAAGCATCTTAATAGAGCCCAGTCGCCACCGCCTTCTTCTCAAATCGTTCACACTAACCAAGATCGGGGAATACACCATCGTCCTTTCGGTGAATTCCAGCTAATGACACGAGTTCGAGTCGTAGCCAGTTAGCATAATGCAGTGGACGGTGCTCCTGTGGATTGAATGTCTTTTATAACGACAGGGGCACCAGTAACTAGTCTGATAAGCCGACCATATTTCGGCACGACACGGAATCGATACTGCTGACGCGTGTTCCAGTCCACGAACTGTGTAAGAGGTGTTTGGAATAGTGCCAGGAAATCTTTTCCCACAACTGTGATCCACCTCTTGATACATCATCTTGTAACCTGTGATATCGGAATTTCCGTCATCTTTCGGAGGCCGTCCATTTAAGGTGCAGGTGGTGGCTCGTCACGGTATTCGTACGCAAGGCTTCAAGGAGCACCAAGTCTTTGTCAATGACTGTGATTTTGATATTAGCTCGGCATCTCCAAGATTGTACTCGCTTTGATTTTCACTGCACCACTCCGCACTCGTCTCGACGAGGGAATAAGGAGGTGCGTCTGACTTTCAGTGTTTCAGACTCCTGGGAATCTGCTATTGCCTCCTTGATCCATTTCAGCTTCGGCTGGGTGATCCGTGGCATAGGAATGAATAATACCATGGATCACCGGCTTTCACACGGAACTCTCTTCCATCGATATCCATATCAAAATCCTGGTGCCTCGAACATTGGTTTTGCTGTTGCGGCACTGACTGGATCTGACGCTCGCCTGTCTCACTCTTGTTCACTGCCACTACTCGTACTCGTAGTATCGGTCTTTTTGCACGCGAAGCGTCCGAAGAATGCTGTACCATGACCGGAGTGGTGTTGACCTGAAAGTTCTTTGGCATGAGTCTGACAATAAGAAATCCTTCAATGAAGCCTGACTCACCTTGACCCATCGCCTCGTCTTCACTCCTTACCTTTCGACGTCGTAATGATCGATGGGAGAACCACCGTTGTCAACGAGGTGGATCCCATTAGATTTCGATATGGTCATTGTCAGGTCCGACGATTTCAGGCTGTAAGAGTGGAATTGTTAAGTGGTGATCCGGGAAAAGGTTTACAATGTCACTTTACCTTGCCAGGTTTTCGTCGGCGCTCCGAATGAATCCTTAGCGAGTACTGGTTCGGATTGTGTTCAAGATCTGAGCGTCCAAAGCATTTTCAGCCATCACTCTCAATCGCTATTCATGCCCTCAACATTTAGGCACCGCGTGCATCTTGTCTCAGTAAAAACGTGCCGACACAGGAACCCAAGTGTTGGTCTTCGTGTCGCGCTCTCCACCACATAATTGGTGATCTCAGCTACACCGTCGTCCTCTGTGGTTCCAATCTAATACCACAACTGTCCTTTGTCACATTGGACACTTCGAGGTCCTACAGGAGTCGCTGGGCGGTCTGAAAATGTGAAGTATTCGTCAGTCCACATTAACATCAAACAAAAAATTAACCAACCTTGCACTAAATAACCTCAAACACTCCTTCGTCTTCCGCCTACTTCGTTCTGCACCTTTCAATGTGAACGGTCCGCTGTCAGATCGTTTAGCACCTGAAGAAGATGGAGGCGAACATCAGGTTTTGACCTTCGATCAACACTTCTGACGCAGCGCTTGTCCTTCTTTGAACGTCCAAGTCGGTTGCGGATACTGGTGCTCCATCGAACTCTCACCTCCATCGGTGGGTGTGACCAGCTTTGATCTTGATCTTTCGAGTCTGCGTGAGGATTTTCGGTTTCACTGAAAACGAAGCGATTTGCATGAACAATCCACATAAACACCTTGGTAACCAACTCACAGTATCTGGCTTGGTGATCTGCGGGTCAGTTGGATCTGAAGGATCCGAGGGACCAGGCTTCATTGACAGCAATGACACGAGACTCATATTCAACACCAGTTTGAGGTTGTTGGCTGAGAACTTTGTGCCGGATGTCTTGCCCGCCTCGTTCCAAATTCGCACTGCCTTTCTCCTTTTCTCAACGATATAGGATTTCACTGGGCTTCCTCGTGTTCGCTGGAGGCTTCCATTGAATTCAAATAATTCTTGTCCGAATCTCAACCACCTCCGTTTGTCTACCGGGTCAGGCACAACTGTAATTAAGTTCGATCATTAGCTAGTACTATGAAGGTATGCATCGACTTTATCAATCTTTTGAAAGAATGGCTTTCGATATTTTGAGAAACGTTAAGCCACTCATGGCTGCCTCGAAGTGAAATACGAAAGATGAACACGACTAAACCATATTCGTTCTTAGCGATTATTGCTCAGTATTTCAAGCGGATTCGACCTCTCCTTGCAGATTGACGGCCATCACTCGGAAAATGGTACTCTTCATATGTATCAGTTTTCCCACTTTGGCCGTGCAATACAGGGAATTCGCCGACCTCTTGCCATATCCACGTGAGGATCCATTTTTCAAGCGCGAATAATGAAGAATCTCCGAGCCTGAAAAATCACCAAATTTTTCATATCTGCATCACCAAAAAACTGCTCTATAAATATTTTCTTAGTACCTCCATTATCAAGTGGGGTTCCAGTGGCAGCGTACATCCTCTTGTGGATTTCGTTCGTCACCTCAGAGGCCCTTCGCGGAGGGACTGGGCACGATCCTAACACGCGTGACCGTTCAATCTGCGCTTTATTTTTGCCATGTTTCGTTCTCTACAGAAACTGTGTACCCCCCTGTATCACCTCTGACACTGAGAATAATCTGTCGCAGTTCGATGAAGTGGGCGTGGGTTGTAACTGACGGCTCGCGTAGGAAGGTCATTGATTACAGTGTCATTGGCCGCGCAAATCGCTGCATGGTGCTGGCTCTCCTTCAAAACATCACTTCCAGTTCAAACGTGTGCCCGCTTGATTGCGAGATCGAAGCAGGCCTGCAGATTTGATCTCGTGCCACATGCAAAATTGCAACTCAATTAAACCCAATACACCTATCAACGCAGTAAACTCTGTCAAGCTTACTTTTGCCTCGGCTCGCGATGATATTTAATCCGTCGTTCAAACAGGTTTGCTGTCGCGGCTTTGTTCACGGCTTTCACGCGAATTTGATAGCCTTTCGCAGCAACGCAGGTTGACTAGCTGTTGCTTTCGTGGTGTTGCCATCCACAGTCGCGCATGGTACCCAGTCCCCGTATTGTCCTTCTTGTCAACCGATATAGTTGAACAATAGGATCTCCTTCCGTGTCTCAGGAGCCTGAAAGCATTAAAATTTCAATCAGGTTCAAAGTTGAAAAATTCGAAAGCACAGGACCTTCCATTCCAAGATCCACATATCTTAATCCAGGTCAACTATAGTAACATCTGTGGGGGCTCCAGGCTGCATCGAGTGGATTCTTGGCCACATGGCATGGTCGTCTGGCAGAGGGCTGAAACCATCCCTGCTAATTCACTGGCTTTCCACGCGAATTTGAATTCCGTGACCCTCGTTTCACTTTCCAACTTTCAGGTTTGTATCAGCGTTTCTCTCGCACTGAATGGACGCAAAATTATAAGCAACATGAGAAAGGGGGGCAAGACAGTGATGACCAGTACCGGCTACCCATCGACCGTCGTCTCTTTTCTCAACAAATAGTTGTGATTGAGAGCCACGTCGTCTCTGGTGGGTGCCATGTCAACGTACACGAATCAATTTGTGATGTCCTTGACAGTCAGTGGTCCATTCAGGAAGTTCCGGGGATATCTAAAAATACTGTTTATTGAATCTTGCAACGAAAAGAAGCCGAAGCAGTGAAGCCTTACCAAAAACAATTACAAGTTGACCTCAGCTCATCGCGTCCATTTTTCATTTGTAGCCACGATTTTGTATTTAGCCACTGTCCGGCCCCTCTGCTGGCATCCTTGGTGTCCACTTGGTATTGTTATCTTGAGTTATCAAATCTTGCGTTACGCAGTGATTGAATCGTTGTTCGTTCAGAACCACTCATCTTTGAGCGCTGGCTCCGCCTCCACATCACGGTGCAAGCCTGATGCGACTTGACCATCTTGCATGCGAAGAATCGTTTAAATCATTGTCACGATCGATCTTGGCGCAGATTTCTGGCTTAGCAATCATTGCCTGCTGGGGTCAGACGTCGAGATTCTCCGCTTTGTTCAAGCGGCTTTCACTCGAAACTGATTGTCTGACCTGGCTTCAAAATTGTCGACGTAGTGGTAAAGTGATCAGCTGACTTCTTGACTGCAAACCATTCTCACGTTGCGGCTCATTTCTATGAGATACTCTTCTACAGAGCACCTACCGTCGTCGAGTGGCGAGTGTCCTTGCAGATCGCGTGTGCCTTGTCCCAGCGATTTTCTGAATTCCTGCGCATCGGCGGCAAT